TGTGTGCCTAGTTTTTGGAGGGTTTATTTTCAAAGTGTGATATACCTTCACCGTTCCAGTAGTTGGCAGAGTGTGACTGCATCACAGATTCTTGTATTTCCCGTCTCTCACTCTTTGTGGATTGCCTGCTATATTGAGCCATGAGTATAGAAACAAGACAGTGCTGTGGACTGACAGGAATTGTACATAAAAACTGTACCCACAGTGCCATTTCATTGGAGAGCAGCGCTTCCATGGTGTCCTTGCTGTGAAAAGCCCATGACTGTAATACGGAGACCTGGCATTCAGTGACTCCCTGTTACCGTCAGCGTGAGTGCCGTGAGTGTACTCCGCTAGTCCCACATCGCGAAAGCAGAGAGCCACTCATCTTTTACCCCGCTGAACTGCTTTTAATTGAAAATTTATAAAGCATCATAACGAATGTAGCAAGAGTTGTGTGCAGCAAGGTGCTGGTGTGCCCCGTAAACACACAGGCTTTACCTCTATTCTCTGCATGAAAATGGCAGTTTCCTCAGCAGTGTGTCGAGGCGCTGGTTACTGTCTTTCTCTATTATACATTCTTACCATCCAGGAAGGAATTGCTTTTTAAAACGTATTTTTAAATGTATTCTTTGAGCTTTGCATATATGTATGCATGTGTATATCAAATATTATATATGTATATATAATATTTTTGATCATGTCCACCCTCTACTTCCCCCTCCAAATCTGACTGTCCACCACCACATCTCCCTCCCAACCTCATTTCCTCTTATGCTTAACCTACTGAGTCCAGGTAGTGCTTCTAATATGTGCACAGTATGTGCCTACAGGTAAAGGGCCATCCACTGAAGCGCGGGCAACTTCCAGAGTAGGGAGGGGGGGATACACATCCCTGAAGGAAATGGACTCTCCCTCAGGCAGCAGCCAACTGCTAATAAATAGCTCCTCTGCTGGCGTGGGACCTCAGGAAAGAATTCTTCATGTTGCCATCACCTTACCTGTTTGTGATGCTCATGACACACAAGTTCTTTTGAAGTTTGTAAATGGCTGCTTGTGTTTCCTTTCCAGTCCCATTGTTGCCGGTACTCCTGGGCCCTGTAGTAAACATGTATTACCAGATGCTGTCTCTATGGTAAACAAGCAGGGTATAGAGGGAGGTCCCTTGGGATTAGGACACTCCAGGGCGCCTCGTGTTATATTTAAGAGAAGCCCTTTATGTAGGCAGGAGGAGAGTGTAGTGTTAGGGAAGACAGAGCTCTGCTCTTAAGGACAGGTGAGCCAGCCTGATGCCAGGACATCAGGTAAGTTGATGCAAACCAGATCTTTAAATTGGGGCTGATGATGGGACCTGGGAGTCAGGGGACCTATTGGTAGAGTACAGTTGCAAACCATACTGGGAAAAACAAAAGAAGTTGGAAAAGTCATGATTTTTTGTTTTGTTTTGTTTCCCTCAACCTGGCATTTTGGCGGTTCAGTTGCAGTTTGCCCAATTGTAGGAAGCCACAGAGTGTGTTTACTCAAGCCTTATTCTCAAATAGTTGAGATTTTGGGCGGATCAAGAGCTGGTGGTTTTTATGTAACAGTTATTTATCTAGTTTGTTCTACAGGGGGAAGAATAGAATGCTCTTCAGTTTGCTTCCTTTACAAGATCTATTTTAGAGCAGTGTTTGCTGACTAGCCTTGGTCACTGCTATTAGAAGAAATGACACGCTTATGTGTCTAGCGTGAGTCTCAGGCTGAGCCAGACTGTGATAGGGTCTTTGTTAATCCTCAGTAGACGGACATCCTTAGCTGCCTGTAGCCTAAAGACAGCAGCAGCTTCCTTGCCCTTCCCTCTTCCTCCTGTAGCCTCTGCTTTGCCTCCTCACTCCCACACACAGGTACTTACTCTTGCTGCTTTTTGCTCCCTTTGCAGGCTGAAACCATCTAGTTAGCCAGAATGCTACAAAGTTAACAGAGTGAACAGAGTTGTAGACACCAGGGGCATGTGTTCTTGTGATCTCTGACTTGTGGGAACTGGGAACATGTTGAAACTAGAAATGTTGATATATACCCACTGTGGGGTAAGGGCAGATGTGTGGGAGGGTGTCAATATGAAAAGGCTAAATACTGGTTTACAGAGAAACTTGGTGATCTTGTATAGTAGGCAACCATTTCAGTCCTGGTGCAGTTTTGCTTGAGTACAGTGAAAATAGTTAACATTTTATTAGGATTATCTTCCCCTTACTGCTATCTTTAAACAAAACCAAACTTGTTATCGTTATTGGGAGGGACATTTATGCCATGCCATTCATGTGGAGAACAGAGTCAGTTCTTTCCCTTCACATTTACATTGGTTCTAGGGATTCATAGAACCCTCAGGTGGGCAGGGTTTCATGTCAGGCAGCAAGTAGCTCTACCCACTGGGCCACCTTGCATCCTGCAGAGGCTCTCCATGCTGTCTTTCTCACTATTACCAGGTGGTAGAAGGAGAGAACTGACTTGCATACATGCAAGCGTGCACTCGAATGCCCCCCCACAAAATAAATAAATATAAAAACAAGACAAATAAACCCAGAGGCTATAAAAATAGGCCACAGAGTTGGAACTTAGGATCGATTCCTAAGTTAGAACTTAAGACCCTGATGACAATGGAACAGAAAAATGTCGTGCTAGGTAGGATGTCCCAGAATCCCAGGATGCCCAGGACTTCCAGTCCCATACCTGGTTAAGAGCTCTACAGGGTACATTCAAAAGCTAGTGAGTCATGGCTGGCCCTATAGATTTCATTTCATTCCAAGTCCCAAGGAGTTGGACATTAGAGTCAGTATGGCGGGAGGTGATGGTCATGTTTGTTTCTAGAAACCCTAACTATTGACAATGACCCAGGAACTTACAGACTGAGCACACACAGTTGAGAGATGGGGTGTGAAGGACTTTGATGTCACATCCTTGCATCTGCCTGTAACCACAACAACACGGGATTTCAGAGATGTAAGGCTAAGGGACTGTTTTATGATCTGAGCCCCACTGTGTGTGTGGCGGTTGTAAATAAAGTGTTAGTGTGTATCTCACTGAGAAGTGAAAAGGCCTGATCAGGGTGCTGGAGCAATCTGTTTGGAAGGATAGATGAAAACAAGTACATCTAAGCAGGAGTGGCCTAGAAA